CTGCAGGCGCGGGGCAATCACTGCACCCCCTGCCCGGCCGGGAGCCAGCAGCGCCCCTGCCGGCCGTGACCGGAACTGCACCAAAGGGGAGAGTGTCCGATAGCCGAGAGAATGCTGTCGCTGGGTTTGGGGTTTGTTTGGTGTTGCTGCTGTTGTGGTTGTTTGTTTGCCTTGTTATATATAGTCTAGTAAAAAAGTGTTATTCCTTTTCCCTTATCTCTGCCTGAAAGCCCTGTTATTTCAATGTTTTAATAATTTGAAGAGAAGGGTGTCATATTTTCCATTCCAGGAAGCTTCCCGCCTTCCTGGGCAGACACCTCTCTCTTAAACCAGGACATACAGGAAGTAGGGTGATGAGTGAAGTTCAGTCATTAGAACAACACAGAGGGAGCAGCACTGCAGGGTCAGTGAGAACCAGCCCCATGCAGCTGTTCATGTGTTATACCTGAGAAATCGTGCTGGCGCTGGCAGCCACTGGTTTTGAGGTTATCTCATTCTCTGACTGTTTGACTCAGGTAAATAGTCATTATGTAGTGCTGCAGTTAGCAATGCTGTGCCAGCCTAGAAAAGGTAGGAGTCAAAAATTAGTGCAGGTATTATAGTGTTATTCCTTGTGGGTCTTCTGAGTACATCTCCAGAGAGAAACAAAGAAACTAAAAGCTCTCTGCTTTCTGCAGCTGCTACAAGTGCATCTATTTGTATTTAAATTCTCTCAGTGCTGAAGATCTGGAAACTTCCCAGACTCCTCCTCCCTGCAGAAAAAACCCCTACAAAATACCACTACCAAAAAAAAAAATAAATCTCCAAACCCCAAACAAATAACCCAGGGATGATGGAGTTCAGTCTACCCATAAAAGGAGACAGGCAACTGGCAATTTTAAGCAGGCAAGTAATGGTGAAGTATTGGATATAAGAGTGAGACAACCAGGGGAAAAAAGAACATCCAGGAATGTGCTAGAAAAGTGAAAGGAGACAAGGAAGTCTCTAGAGTGTGGGTTTTATTATCCATTAATAAGAGGTAGAACATGTATTGCTAGAAAAGGATCTTCTAGAAAATGAGGATTCAGGAGATTCAGATTAAGAAAAATCACCTGACACATCTAACAGCTCCTTGAACAACAAATCAAGAGGATGTAGATTTTCAAGGAAAGAATGTAAAGTAATGTTCTTCTACAGTTTCCTCCACATCTCAAGACCAATGCCATATTTGAGGTGGACAGCCATGGCCTCCAGGTGTGATGGTCTGTAATAAGCAGAGTATTTCCTCAATCCCTTCTCTTGCTTCTGGGCAACTGCATTTGTGAGTGTACAAGTTTGTGGATACCACAGGTGTCACATGCATCCTACAATTTCCTTTATGCTGCAATACATATGCCCATCATAAAATCTTGAAGAGTTCTGAAAAGTTGCAAAACATTGTCAGCATTTTCTTTTCATGGCACAGTCATTGTACTGTTATGGGGGATCTTGGGGGCATGGCGTGTTTATATTTTATTCCTTCTTGGTTGTTCTGTTTGGTTTCTGCTTACTTTCAGCTAATGCAGGCAGAATTATATCATTATCATTTACATTATCATTCAGTTGCATAAATATAACATTACACTGATTATTAAAAATCAATCTATGATGAAATGGCAAATACCAAAGAAGCGCCTGCTTTCCCCTCTTGGAGAGTCTATAATGGCAGTTTATGTTCCTTGTCTTTTCTTAGTTGATCCACTCAAGGGCAGAGAGCAGCTCTTCAGAGGGGACACAGACAAACTGGAGGAGTGGGCTCAGACGCACAAAATGAAACTGAAAATAGACAAAGGCAAAATTCTGCAGCTGGGAAGAGATAATGCCCGGCAACAATATGTGTTAGGAAACGGTGAGCAGCTATTCTGAAAAGCAACGTGGTCCTGGTAGATGGAAAGCTGGATGTGATCCCACAGTGTGCCCTGGAGGCAGTGGGGGACAACTGCACCCTTGGCTATAAAATAGCAGGACCATATTCAGGATCTCAAAAGAAAGGAATACTAGGATTTTTCAACCCCATTTAAAATACTGCATCCAGTTTGAGGTTCATCAATATACAAAAGGCTGATAAAATTGATCAACTGAAACAATTTCAGCAGAGGAGCACCAAGACAATCAGAAGGCCAGAGCACTTGTCCTGTGAGGGGAAACTGATGGACCTGGACTTGGTTAGCCTGGAGAAGGCTTGGGTGAGAGCAACTGCAATGTTCCAACAGAAGATTCCTTCTGCAGAAGTTAAGACCAGGCCAGGGTCCTCACAGTAGTGCATGGTGGTAGGAGAGGAGGCAGAAGGCCTAATCTGTAATGAGAGAATTTAGGGAAATTTTTTTCATGCTGATGAGAGTCAAGTATCAAGCACTGGAAGAGGTTGGCTAGAGAGGTAGTGCAGTCTATATCCTTGTAGGTTTCAAGACTTGACCTGATACAGTCCTGATCAAAATTACCTGATCTCATAGTTGCCCCTGATTTAAGCAAGAGGTTGTGCTAGATAATATAATTGTAGACTGGTTTGGGTTGGAAGAGACCCTAAAGATCATCTAGTTCCACCCCCCTGCCATGGGCAGGGACACATTCCACTGGACCAGGTTGCTCAGAGCCCTACCCAACTTGTCTTTGGACACTTCCAAGGGTCAAAATGAGGTCTCCCTAGAACCACCTCTTCTCCAGGCTAACAGCCCCAACTCTCTCTGTTTGTCTGTGGAAAAGGGGTGCTCCAACCCTCAGAACACCTTTGTGGCCCTCCTCAACGATGACCAAGGTGTATTCCAACTTGAATCCTCTTTTAATCCCCTGTCAGACGCAATTAAAGAAGCACTATCCTAGGGTAATTGACTGTAATTTCCCACTGTTTCAGGTAGCTTTTACCAGCTTGGAGACACTGTGCCTGCTAATTTCCTGCCCAGGGAAAGGCACTGACAGGAAAACTGAGGGACCTCACCTCATAGGGTTACACTGAAAGAGTCAATGTGCACAAGTCGCAACACAAGAAATTCTGGAATGGACAGAAAGGCAAAAGCTTCTTGCCCTTGAAAACTGTTCAGCAGACATGCCTGGAGAGGAAAAAAAAAGTTTGAATGAGGAATTGAGCAACCTAATCTAGATTTTAAGTAAGGCCTGCTTTGGTAAGGAGACTGGATTAAATAAATTCATCTGTCCTTTCAAACCTAAATTCTTCCATGATCCTACAATTTATGTACCAGGCAGTACCACGGAGTTCTCTCTTTCACTTCCATTTGACCATTCCTTGTGAGAATGGGTTTGTAACTCAAGTCTTGTGGCCCAACCTCTCCACTTTCGGCCTTCTTGCTGCTTGAAGTAGAGCTGATGAAAATCAATTAATGCAGTTATGTCTTCTTTAGATAGGCTGTTAGTTGCACAGAATACAACACATATCCATAGAAATCTTTGGATTTGAAAGATTTCTTTTATGTTCTTGTTACCATAAGGAGTCTGGCTTTAGCATGCAGCTTGCTAAGAATACAGTCTCATAACAGGCTATTTTTTCAATGCAATGAAGATTTGCTTATCTCAAGAGATGTTCACACTCCATTATTATTTATCAGTCTAAACATACAAAGAAAGGGAAGAAACACACAACAAAAATCTCAACTCTATCCCACACTTCAAGGCATAGCAGCAGAAACCTCTTTAAAACTTTTGGCTGCTAGAAAGCTGTGCATTCTGCTACTGTAACTTCAAATACACAAATTCTGCAAAAAGCATCACCCTTATTTTAAAAATACACAAGAGATAGTAATAGCAATAGATATAAGTTACTCAAAGAGGCCCACATTAGACTTAAAGCATTATCAGTATCTTTTAATTAAAAAAAAAAGAAAATATATCAACAGATATCCAGCAGCTAAGGTGGTAATAGAATCCTTCTTTGCTTCTAGCCTCTGTATAGCTCCATCAAGCAAGGCAGGATATGTCCCAACAAACTTCATGTGCTTTCCAACAGTGTCAATACAAGTAATATACTTGAAAATGATGGCTCTAACTCCAGAAAACTCCTTTATTCCAGAAGCATTATATTCATGCCAGTGAAATACCTCCAGAGATTCAGCAAGGGCTGCTTTTTAACTGAAACAGATAACCTTTTCTAACTCTGTATTCAGAGGCAAGGTCAGCACAGCCAGAATCTGGATAAATATCCTGTTTGACACTCCCTCAGAACTGGAGAAATTAATCATTTTCACTCCCCCTGTGTTGTTCTCGGCATGCTGCTCAATGAAAACCCTTCACAGCAGGATGTGCTGCAATGACTGCACACATGCATGAGGACTGCCTGTGTTTTGGAAGTTACCAGGCCACTGGCTGACAGCAGAATGCTGCAGCTGGTGTCACTGCCAGCTTCTCCACTCAGCAGGTTCCCTCTTAGAATGTCTGCACCAAAGGGTGATCTACGCTCACCACTGTGGCTTCTCTTACTGACTGGTCCTAGAGCTGCTGCTGCTTCCAGACCTCATTGTGCCATAAAGCTGCTCATGGGCCCCAAGCGTCTGCAGCAGCCTCTTACTGCTGCCCTCTTTGCTCTGTGTTACCCACGCCATGCACGGTGCAATGGTCACATCTGCTGCTGTGCCAGGCACCAGCATGGCATCACAGCTCTGGTACCACAAGGGACTGGCACCGGTACTGGTACTGGAACTAGGACTGGGACTGTTACTGTTACTGGTCCTGGCACTGGAACTGAAACTGTGACTGGCACTGATACTGGGACTGGAACTGGGCCTGGTACTCGTGCAGCTACAGGGAGAGGTACCTGACAGATATTGGTACCAGAACTGGAACTGGGATTAATAGCAGCACTAGTACTGGTAGTGAGACTGGAACTGGGATTGCTACTGGTACTGGTGCTTGGACTGGGACTGGAACTGGGCCTGGTACTGGTTTTAGTACTGGTACAGGTACTTGGACTGGTGTTGGAATTGGGACTGATGCCAAAACTGGGACTGGGCCTAGTAAAGGTACTGGGACTGGCACTAAACTGGTATTGATACTGGCACTGGGCCTGGTGTTTGTACTGGTACAGGTACTTGGACTGGTTTTGGAACAGGGACTGGTGCTGGAACTGGGACTGGTGCTGGAACTGGGGCTGGTGCTGGCACTGGCATAGGCAGTGGTATTGATAGTGGAAGTAGGCCTGGTACTGGTGTTGGCACTGGACAGGAGTTTGGACTGTTTCTGGCACTGGGACTAGGGCTGGAGGCGGTGTTGGGGTCGGGACTGTGCCGGCGCCGGTACGGGAGGCAGCGCTGACACCGCGGCCCAGGGACGGGCCCAGGGACGGGCCCAGGAACCGGCCCTGGCCCTGGCCCTGGGCCCTCCCCATCCCCTCCCCGCGTCACGACAGCGGCTCCGCCCCCGCCTTCATTTGCATGCCTGCCCCCGACGGGCCAATGGCGCGCGGCCACCGAGGCGCTGACCCCGCCCTCCGCGGCCGCCGGTAACGGAAGCGCCGGGAGCGGAGCGGGCCCCGCGCGCCCGGCCCGCGCGGCGCGGGCGGCCTGCGGGAGCGCGCCCGGTGCGCGCGGCCGCTGCGGTGAGTGCGGGCGGGGCGGAACGGCCGCCGCCGCCGCCGCCCCTCCCCCCGCGCCGCGCCCTCCCCCCGCGCGCCCCGCAGGCCGCCGCCCGCCCCGCCCCGCCCGCGCGCAGCGCGCTGCCAGCTTGGGCACGGGGGCGGGAGGCGGCGGCCGCTGCGTGTGGGGGAGCGGCCTGCGCGCCCGATGCCGGGATAGTGGTTCCGTGCTAGGCTCGGTGGCCGGGCCGTGCCCTTGAGCGCCCATGGCTGCGACTCTGGAGGGTGCGGTTACGGGTGGGATCGCGACGGCGGCCCCCGGCAGCACGGAGCGGGTGCGTGGGGGCGCAGGTGGGAAGGGCATGGTCACTCCAGCGTGTGTCCCGTACTGGTGCTAGTGCTGCTCCTTCTCCTGCCTCCCCTCCCGAGCCCTGCGGGCTCGCCTCAGGCAAGTGTCCTAATCAGGTGTCGTGTTCTCTAAGGAATGGCCAGAGGTTCCCTTAGCACTGCCTGCGTTCCCAGCAGGATACTTGTACCAAGCCGATGCGCGTAGGGAGAGGAGCCGTTGGCAATAAAGCACGGTGTGCCAGGTGAAGCAGGCAGCGCAGGAAGCCAGACACATCCATTGGGATGCTGCTGTGTTTGTGAGCATCCGGGCGGTGAGACCCTGGCACAGGTTACCCAGAGAAGCTGTGGATGCACCGTCCCTAGGAGTGTTCAGAGCCAGCTTGGATGGGATGTGGAGCAACCTGGCCCAGTGGAATGTGTCCCTGCCCATGGCAGGGGGATTGAAACCAGATGGTCCTAAAGTTCTCTTCTAACCTAAAGCATTCTCTGAGTCTGCCCAGTGTAAAGAATATATATCAGTCGAACATGAAGTGCTTATGGAAAAAAGAGGAAGTGCATGGTCAGTAGTACTAAAGCCATTGAGTCACAGCACACAACAAGTGCTATTCCTGTCTAGGAGGATGTTTTTCCTTAGACATTTGTTTAATTTGAGCTGTTCTGGTAGCTCCTGGACCAATAGAAACAGTGCTAATGATGGGTATTGAGACCCTTCTCAAAATGCTACCTAATGCTTATAAATGGTGTGCATTTGATTTTGAATTAATCAGTAATTCCTTCAAACATTTTGGATTTGTGTCACCTTTGAGAACAGTTCTCTTGTTTTTATAGCTTTTCATATTAATCCCTTCAGGTGTTTCCTCCACACTTCTAAAGTATCCTGGAATCTACCTGTTTACCCTAGGCTTTGTGATGAGGGTACAAATATGTGGGTTGAATGTATGATTTTTGAAAGCCATGGGAATAACTATCTCCTTTTAAATGGTTTATTTTGGAGAGAATAATGAGATGCCCCTTGAGGACTCTTAAGTGTGTGGTCAGGCACAGATAATCATGCCTTCCCTGCTTATAAAGGCATGTCCCCTTGTTCCAAAGACATCACTGGTTTGACTATCAGAGTCAAGGCCCTGAACTAATGGGCTGGGAGGGAGCTGAGCTCACCACTTTAATGGGAGCATGAGGAAACAAAACATTACCAAGAAAAGCCTGAATTGCTTTCCTCATCTTCAAAGAAGTGCAGCCTACCTCTGCCTGCTCTCAGTAGGATAGAACATAGTCAAATGCTTATCCAAGAGGAAGAATCAAATTGAAGGTGAGAGATTTTCACCAAAAGATGTTGGCCAGTTGTGCTTTTAACACCAAGGGAATGTAGGCTCTGTGGCTGTGTTGCTGTGGGTAACAGAAGAGATGCTGACAGATGCCCTCTGAAGCAGAGAATGGTTTTCTTATCTCTTTCCAAATACTTTTTCTGAGCAGCCGATGAACCTTTTGTGTGGTGCTGCTTGAACTTGAGGCAGCAATCCATACAAGGAGCCTCGGGTAGGCTTTCACTGAAGCAGGTTTGCCCTCAGATTCTGCAATTTGGTGATGTTTTGGAGATCCAATCATGATTCCCTTGATAAGAGGTTTCTCAGATTTTTTTTTTTTTCAAACCACAACTACAGAAATACAACTATCTTGGGAAAAATGGGGGATGAAGGGTTGTGCCAGAAGTGCCTCCTGCTCTGAACTGCTGCCCCAGTAGCACTGGCCAGAATGGGGATACCTACTTTTAGTCTCTGGTATTTGTCTTCTTCAGGTCTCTGTTTTTTCTGGGTTGAAGTGACCAGGAAACAATTGAAGCATCCAGGATACTAACTGCACATTGTTTGACTTGTGCTGAAGGGTGTTGTTTCACTTCTTGGAAAAAAGTGAACTTGAGGACATATTTGGGCAGAGTGCCAAAGTGTTTTGCATAAACAGAGTGGATGAATTGCTGACCTTTTCTGGGTGTGGGGCAAGTTTTTTGTCTGAAAGATTCCCTGAAACTTAGAATTTTTGCTTAGGGAGGTTGTTGCAGAAAATTGACACGTTAGGAAATACATACAAATAGAGGTGAGCACTTTCAGAGTTTTCAGAATTTAATATTTTCAGAATTTATTTGTTGTCAAACAAAGAATGAGCTGAATTCTGGCAGGGACTGTTCTTCTAAAGGTATTCTGGCATAGCTCTTGGTAGACGTAAACTTGTCTAGCTGCTTTTTGAACTTCCATAGATTTGCAGCATCCATACCATACCATGAAAAGAAATTCCATAGGTTGCCATCTGTTTCATGAAGCTTTTCTTTTACTTACTTTGAACTTGACATGTGCAACCTTCAATAGGTGTCTCCTCCATCTGGCAGAAGAAAATGTGATTCTTTATTCCCTATTTGGTTTTGTCATGATTTTGTAGACCTCTGCTGTATCCTCTCCTCAGTTCTTTTTCTTCCATCCTTCAGAATCCCAACTGTGGGAGTCATTGCTTGTGTGGGCTTGTGTGGGAGCCAGTCTGGCTTTTGGTGTGAACTTTTTCTATAAATACAAGTACAGAGTATCAGGAATTTTACTGTGTCATTTTTAAGTGAGTGCATTAGGGGGAAAATTCTTCTTCATGCAATGGGAAGGAATAATCTGCTGTGATCTTTCATGGTTAAATAATTGTATTCTTTGTCTTAGTATTATTTTTTTTTCTTACAACTATTGATTTCCAGTCTGACTTGTTCACTGCTGGTGAGTACCTAGTAGGTGTTTCCATCAAGCTGTTGGATGTAACCCCAACATCTCTTTCTTGTGAAGTAGGAATGAAGAGCCTGTTGTATATTTCTGAGTGGCCTTGATCCTACAACCATCAGTATGAAATTCAGCACCTCTCTTTGATCACATAAAGCCTATAGTTCTTGCCTTTACTGTCACACTTTACAGGCAATTAAGAAAATTTTGCAAGTGTTTAGCTAAGTTAAAAGATAATACTGGATAAGTAGCAAATTGAGAATTTTTCTCTGGAAAAGAAAGATCAGTCCTCAGCCTGGTATGATTTTTTTGGTAGTTATTGCAAATGCACTTTATTTTGCTTTTTTAATAAATTTCTCTAAATTTTGTGTCTATATGTGTGAATGTTTCAGGAAATGCTTCAAGGACCATCAGAAGATGTGTTTGCAAAGATGGAAAGTTCAGTTGAAGACATGGATACCTCCGATACGCAGTGGGGCTGGTTTTATTTGGCAGAGTGTGGTAAATGGCATATGTTTCAGGTAAATACCTATGAAGTTATATTGGCTCTGATGGATCCCATACGTGACATTACCTATGGCTGAGTTTGTCTTTATGTGCTTTTTCTTTTATTTTGAAGACTGACTCAAACAGTCACTGCTCTATCAGCAGTGAAGATATTGAAAGGAGTTTCCGAGCAGACCCCCGTGGATCTCTGTCTTTTACCACTGCAAAGTTTAACTACACACTGGACTTTTCAGGTATGTGTTTTGCCAAAGAGTAAACTGAAACAATAGAAGGTCTCAGATACACCAGCACATTTGTTCATTCAGCAGGTTATTGTCTTCATATCTGGTGTGAAAACATGATTAAAAATGTCGTTTTTACTGGAAAGTACATAGGAGTTTTTAGAAACAGCTGCTCTGTTACATTTTTGGTGTAGTTTATTAATGAAGTAGCAAGTTCTGTTTGATAACACTGCATTGGAGTTCCTACTGTTTGCTCCAGCTGCAAGTGGCATGTAGGATACATCTCTTGAACTAGGAAGGTTGAACCTTTTTTCTTTAATGTGCAGCTGCCTGTAAGCTTGGAAACCTCTTCCATTAATTCTGTATAAGAAACATTGCTGTAAAGGAGGCTTCCTGCAAAATACTAGCATCAGAATGATTTAATAATTCAGCAGGTAGTTGAAGCCAGTTCTGTTCTCAGAATAACAAGGAGATAGGGAAAAAGATTTACTGGTAGATTGTAAAGATCTTGCTTATGCTGTTCTTGTAAATTACAGAGTAGTACAGGTTTCTAAGGTATGTAACTATAAAGGTAATCTGTTCTTTGTTCACAGGTGTGTTCTAGTAACTTTTTTTAGTTTTTCTATTCATAGATGGTTTATTTTCTGGTTAAATTACAAAACAGTTATATGCTTAAATATAGGAAATTAAGGAAATAAATACATATTCCAGTATACGTATTCAAATGTCAAATATTTCAAATACAGAAAGTGGGGACTGGGTTAAACAGCAATATACTGGCAGTAAGGTGGTATCTAACAATACAAGGAGTTTTATGCTTATTTGTGTTGAAATGTCTGTTTATTAAAACCTGTGTTTTGCATCCAGAATAAAAACACTACACTATAAGCAAATGTTAAAGAGCAGTTTTTATGTTACTCTCTTTAGGTTGTGATGTCTTACACTAAGAATAGTGTATTCTTTGTCATCCCTTTCAAGTCAGTGGAAGTCCTGCCTGTGATTTGGTGGGACTGAATGTTAGATGGATATTTTAAAAATACATATTTTGTGTGTGTTATATATGGGGACATGAGTCCCCAACTCATGTAAATGACAATGCATTTAGATATATTTATTGAAAATGCTGATTTGTTACTTGTTGAAATAGGATTCCTGTCAAGTAGCTTAGGTTGTAGTAACATTCTTTTAAATAATGATACTTAAATGTTTCATATGTTGTAGATGAATTCCTAAAAATTTCTTCCTAATTCTTGTTTTATGCTCAGTGATGAAACAAATCAACCTAACTACCCTTAAACAACGTCCAATAAAGCGAGCTCCCTTTGCAATCAATTCATTCAGGTAAGGAAATAAGAGGAAGACTCCTTATTTTTCTTTTATTCCTGTTTCTTCTAAGTAAAATGAAACCAAAGTGTTTTATCTTTATTGTTTATATTTATTTGCTTTTGGAGTCACTTGCTCTGAATACCTGTTGAATGAGAATTGCTGCAGGGAAGCAGCACCAAAAAATGGAATCCAGTGACTCCATAAATTATTTAGAAGTAGTATTGTAACAGCAAAAAAAAAGGGTGAGTTATATGTTGTGCCTGTATTTTACTCATTTACTCTAAACTCACTTGGAGTTTAAGAAATTGTGTTGTAATAATTCTTTTATGAGTTTAATTGCTTTAGATTGTCAGTTTCTTGCCATTTGATCAGTCATTAGATGTAAAGCTGAGCTGATGTAAAGCTGGAGCTCACTAAACAATAAACTAAGCTATGCAGATGAAATTGAGTAAATGGGATATGTGGATTTTTTTACCCCAAATAGTTTCTGAGAAAAAAATTTAGTTTGGAATTGTAGCGTGGTTATATATTAAAAAATAAATTTGTCATTTGTCATAAGAAATGTAGTAGCAATCTGTTTACACTGACTTTCAAGAAGACTGTTTTTGAAGTGCCAACTTTTTTTCAGTAGATATTTGCTAAATAGTGCATGCAATGACATGGCAATTTACTTTGTTCTTTGAATAATTGCATTCAGTACTCTTATTTCCATGTGGTGACATTTTTTACTTGCAGGAGATTTCTTCTTTTAGTCCCAGTTTTAAGGCTTAAGAGCTTCAATGTATGTAGTGCATGTGCTTAAACCACTCTTTTTTAGTAGCTCTGTATAAACTTCATGGGGGTTTGCTTTTTTTGCACACTGTGTTGTTTGGAGCAGGAGTTTGACAGGAAGAAAATGCCTCATGTCTTTGAAGTGATGTGCTTTTACCTTTTTTGTTTGAAGTTTCATCTGTGAAAATGAGGCTATCCCTATGCCTTCCCACTGGGAGAATGTAAATACTGAGGAGCCATACCAGGTAAGAGTTGGTATGCAACTTGGTCAAAAACATGTGACAACGAAATAATGCATCAAATTGAAATCACACTAACCTCTTTTTTTCCAGCTTATTCCATTGCAAAAGAAAACAAATGAATATAATGAAGTTTCTAGTCTCTTTGGAAAAACAATGGATAGCCACCGAATTAAAAGAATTAAGAGAATACAAAATCTAGACTTGTGGGAGTTTTTTTGCAGGTGAGATTATTTCTAAAACCAACAGTTTTAGGATTGTTAATGGAGAAAAGTTTTAAATCATGCAGCAGAAATATGTTTAACTGTTTTTACTATTAATGAATTTTTTGTTACATTTTAACTTTTAAAAAGTTTCTTATTTGTCATTTCTCTTTATTCAAAATTTAATTTTCAAGACCATATAGCTTCTACAGGTGCAGAAATTGAATACTTGTAGAAATTCATTAGATAAAACTGTAGCATTGATAATGTATTTAAGGTGTTCAGAATATCTGTGTGTAGATGCCCATGATCTTTACAGTGAAGTAAGGGGAAATAAATTAGCTTTTTGTAAAATGATTCCTTGAGAGGCTTGTATTATTTTAATTTTTACTTAATTAATATTTCAGTCTTTTTAAATTTCTCAATTTTATGAAGCATAGGACAGAATTAAGTGTCTATTGAACACATAGTCATGCAATTCTTTTAAATTTAATGTCTTAAAAAACCTTCTTCTAAGTTCTTGGCTTTTCCCTCTGCATATTGTGCTGGCCTGGAAGAAGTAGGAAGTGCCCAGTTTGGTATCCACTTATTTTTGGTGTCAGTCTTAAGCAATCATACTTGCCAAAAGTTATTTGTGCATCTTGTAGGAAGGAGTGCATATCAGGAGGTTTAAATATGTTTTACTCAAATAAAAAAATTTAGACTAAGTTAAAGAGTGAGGAAACAACTAACCAGATGTATACTAAAATCTTGCATAAGTTACATGATTTTTTTAAAGATAAGTCATTTATTGTTAATTTAAAGCTATATCAACATGTGTGAGGAAGTGAAATTCCTTATGTATGTTAATGGTTAAGAGAGTTACCCAATTTTTAGTTAAGTTTCTTTTTTGTCTTCATGGAATGAGGAAGAGGGTCAGCAGAACTGCTGCCTTGGACTCCTAGAGGTCAAACTTTGGGTTGTTCAGGAGGTTGTTTGACAGAGTCCATTGTGAGGCAGTCCTGAAGGGCAGACGAGTCCAGGAAGGCTGAACACTCTTCAAGAGGGAAATCCTAAAGGCTCTGGAGCAGGCTGTCCTCATGTGCTGAAAGACAAGTAGTTGAGGAATAAGGTCATCCTGGCTGAACAGAGAACTTTGGCTGGAATTCAGACAAAAAAGAGGGTTTATGACCTTGGGAAGAAGGGGCAGGCAACTCAGGAGGAGTAAAAGATGTTGAGATGTTTTGCAGGGAGAAAATTAGAAGGATCAAAGCCCATTTAGAACCTAATTTGGCCACTGCTGTAGAAGACAATAATTTTTTTTTTAAATAAATCATCAACAAAAGGAGGGCTATAGAGAATCTCTGTCCTTTACTGGATATGGGGGAAACATAGTGACAAAGGATGAAGAAAAGACTGAGGCAACAAAGGCATTAATATTAAGACTGGTTGTTATCTGGGCACCCAGACCCTGAGCTGGGAGACAGAAGTGGGGAGCAAAATGCAGCCCTCATAATCCAAGAGAAAAGGGAACCTGCTACCCCACACAAGTCTATGGGAATGGATGGACTCTACTGGAGGGGTACCAAGGGAGCTGGGAGAGTGCTCACTGAGCCACTTCCAACCATTTACCAGCAGTCCTGGCTCACTGGGGAGGTCCCAGTTGGCTGTGGTTGAGCAAGTGTGATGCCCATGCACAAGAAGAGCTGGAAGGAGGATCCAGAGAACTACAGACCTGTCAGGCTGAGTGAGCTCAGTGCCAGGGAAGGTCAAGGAACAGCTCATCCTGAGTGCCATCACATGCCACACAGCATGTGCAGGGCAACCAGGGGTCAGGCCCAGCCAGGATAAGTTTAGGAAAGGCAGGTCCTGCTTGATGACCAACCTCACCTCCTTCTGTGACAGGGTGACCCACTAAGTGGATGAGGGAAAGGCTGCAGTTATTTTTTACCTGGACTTCAGTAGAGGCTTCTACACTGTTTTCCCACAACATTCTCCTGGAGAATTGGCTGCTCATGGCTCAGACAGGTGCACTGTTTGCTGGGTAAAAAGCTGTCTGGATAGGCAGGCCCAGGGAGAGGTGGTGAATGGAGCTACAGAATCCAGCTGGTCACTGGTGGGGTCCCCAGGGCTCAGTGTTGGGGCCAGTCCTGTATAATATCTTTATTTGGGATCAGGACAGGGGGATCAAGGGCACCCTCAGTAAGTTTGCAAATGTCATAAAGCTGAGTGTGGATCTGCTGAAGGGCAGGAAGGCTCTCCAGAGGGATCTGGACAGGCTGGATCCATGGGCTGAGGCCAGTTGTGAAGTTCAGTAAGCTGAATGCCGGGTCCTGCCCTTGGGTCACAAGACAGTGCTGTCGGCTTGCACATACTGGTGAAGAAATTATTGCCTGGTAGTATATTACAAAGAAATAGGTATTCCAGCATTTCAAATTCACTTCTTTTGGTGTCCCAGGTAGGAAAGTTGAAAAGAGCATGATGCTTAGTCTAGCATCTCAGTTTGGAGTTGTCGAGGAGTACAACAAGTAAAAGAAGGTGTTGGTCAGTGAGATTGATGACCAGTTTTAGAAAAAGCTTTTGTGCTTACATAAGTACAAGGAGCATGTCTCTGGGTGTTTAGTTTTGCTCTAGGTTTTACCTTTCATTGAGTGAATTGTCTGAATGAGAATTTTCACTGTGCTGGATCAAGTTAATTTTGTTGAACTAGATTATCTTTTCACTGCTTGTACAAGGTGCTAAGGTGATGCTTTTTAGAACAGTTGGACCCCTTGATTTCTGTTCCAAATTACCAAAGTGTCCTGTTGTGGCATTTCTGCATTCTGCCCAACCAGCTTGCCAGTGTGCCCAGTATATTTTAAATTTTTATGGTTTCGAAAAAGTGATAAGATCAATTGATTTAATTGATTGATCAGTGCTGGAATGGTTATTTGCATCACTGTAGTGGTCAGAACACTTTTGCCTTTAACAGTAGTTCCCATATTAATAATGACTCTAAATTGACTTGATGAAAATAACTGGTCAGAGATAGTAAAGGACTATCACAGAACATCTTTTTATTGATTGTTCACTTTTTCTATAAATCTGTTCCGTTTCCCTGTTTCAAAAGAAGTTACTCAAGGCTACATTTATATATTGTCAGAGATCAACAGCCAACAACAGAGGGCTCTGGTTGAAGAAATTTCAGATGTTCAGCATAACTAGCCCGTAGATCAGTTTTTGCTGGTTTGCCTAGTGCTTCATAATCTACCAACTTTGTTATCCCTTCCACTATGACATTAAAGCAGGTGGAGGAAACAAAATGTGCAAAATTGCCTTTCTTTTAAAGATGTATCTGCTGAAAATGACCACACTGAAACTAATAACACATGAACAATGTTGATAAAATTGGTGTAGAAAGACTTTTTTTTAAAATCTTAGACTATGTGGGAAAATAGTCCTACAGCATTCAGAAATGTGTGATTTCTAAATATGTACCTTAAGAATTCCGACGTGTTTAAAACCTTGAGTCATCTAGGCACTTGTAAAGTGGAATGTGTTAGGTCTGTACCCTCAGCAGTGCTTTCACAGTAGTAATTTAGTGTGTTTGTACAACTATTTATTTATTATGTATTTATTGTGTACAGCTATTTATTTATTAGGTATTTATTGTGTGTTTTCTGTAGGAAAAAAGCTCAGCTGAAGAAGAAAAGGGGTGTCCCAACAATTAATGAGCAGATGCTGTTTCATGGCACCAGTAATGAATTTGTAGAAGCAATATGTATTCATAACTTTGACTGGAGAATAAATGGGATGCATGCTGCTGTGTATGGAAAAGGTAAGTATTGCTGTCACATACAACTGTGAAAGTGTTAACAGCTCAACATTAAGTCTTCCCTGTAGTGTGTACTTTGTGATGCATGCCTTGTGTTTACCCAAGAGCTGTTTAATACAAATCTGCTTTTATGGCAAGTGTAATTAAGGATGCAGTAAGGAATGTAATTGTCACAGTGGCTGGTAGGGCCAGGGAGCATGGGGAAGGGATGCCCCGCAAAGAAGTGTTGATCACAAGACAATCTCTCTACTAAAATGTTCACACTAAAAATATTTGGTCATATTGTTATAACAATTAACAACAAAAAAAGGATTCCTAATGAGCATAAAAGAGCTGTCATTTTTCATCATGTTGATAGCTATGCTCTGGTAGTCAAACTGTCATGATAAGAATGTCATCAAATTTTCTTGGTTTTTTTTATTTGAAAGGGACCTATTTTGCAAGAGATGCATCATATTCCAGCCATTTCTGCAAAGAGAGCATGAAGCATGGAGATACTTTCCAGATTCATGGTGTGAACCTGCAGCCTCATCTGCACAGACCAGATAAAGTCATGTTTCTTGCTCGTGTATTAACTGGTGACTATATCGGTGGTGATTCAAAATACATGAGACCTCCTTCAAAAGATGGAAGCTTTGTGAACTTGTATGACAGCTGCGTGGATAATACCTGGAACCCAAAGATCTTTGTCATCTTCGATGCCAACCAAATCTACCCTGAGTACTTAATAGAATTTTGTTAAGTTTGAACTGACTATTGTTTGTGGTTTTTTGAATACTTTTGTTCCTTTTGTAAAGACAGCAACATAGAAACGATGCATGAAAGAGAGGTGAAAGAAAAGCTGGCATACATTTATGGAGGAGGGAAGCTATTACATATTTAAGAGAGACTGGTGAACTGTTTTTAAAAGTCTGTAAACTTTATTAATGCATTTTTCAAATGTAGAGACTATTACAAATCTGACGTTGCTTAGTGAGCCTTAAATACATTGAGCATTGGTAAGTTTTCAAAGGCAAGATTTATGTTTTGATTTTCTAAAGTATATTAAAAATGGTTAGAAATATGCCTCTAATATGGTATGCATATGATGAAATTAATCTTTTATAAAGATTGCCTATAAAACAAAGTAAGAAAAACAACAGCAAAACCCCAGGGGACATGGCTACTTGTGTGTGTGTGTCCGTGTTCTGTAGTACATGTTACTTTGTTTGGAGGTCTCTTAGTTTGGATTCTAAACCTAAAATAGAAAAAGAACCTACAGCTCCTTCATCAGTTTCCTCCAGATAAAGTTCAACAAAGTTGTAAGGTTTAACTTTATGTACATTTTACTGTAAGCTTCGATTATATACTGGGAAAATAACAAAGCCATTGCAGTAGGATTTGACAGTTTGTTTTGATGGAAACGAGGCCCATAAACTTGTGGTTGTTAGTTGTTTGGTATGTAACTGTTGGGCTCACTGTTGGGATATCATATGCCTTTCTCATTTCTTATCCTATGGAATTTTTGCCATCCTGTTGCAGTATTTATGAGCTGCTGTGATTGTGTCTGGTCAGAGTTTAAGATACACTCAGTGCTCATATACTTGGTGTTACTGAAGACAACATTTAGATTAACTTATCTGTAAACAATGCAGTTAAACTAATAAGGAACATTTCAAACGATGCCATCCTTTAGCTTTTAAACACTACAATCGAAAGCTTTCAGTAACATTTGTGTAGACCAGGTTTTCATAACTGGTATGGTTGTAAAGTTGAAGGGTATTTTTCACATGCAGAAAGAGCAAAAGAGACAATATTTGGGTAAAGAGCAAACCTGAGTACCTAAACACATGAAGAGGCTGAAATACACTGTTGTGTGAACGATCTGCTATGGAATTGTGTCCCTAGTGTGCTTTGTTAAAGGACCTAAGTAGCACTAATGGACAAAGTCAAAGTTGAAACCTTTCCAGGATTTTTCTTTGGCTATGGCCAGTAACAGGTCCCTGTAGAATTGGTATATAATTGTGGCAGATATAGAATGATCTCTGTTGGTTTGTTATAGAATTGTTAATGGACTTTTTGGATCAAAGGCTGTGTTTAAAATGCATTGCATTTAAAGGCACTGCAGCTGCTGGCATGACCAGGTCTGCTCAAAGTTGTGCTGAACTGGTGGAACTGGAAGCATGAGATGACGACATATCTGGCATCATAACTGAGGACACAAATATCTCTTCCTTCTCCTGTGTGCTGTTACTGTTGTCTGTCAATGGGTCTTGCATAAGTTGTTTATCTGTTTCTGTTTGCAATTTCATGGCAATTTTCCTGTCCCTAAACCATTTAGGGCTAAAATGCATTTTCCTTTATTTTAGGAAGTATGATTTCTGATCCCAGCTGGGAACTCTAGGTTCTGCTCTTGTAGGTGTGATTTGTGTTTGATTCACTACTACACTAGCTCTGCAAAAGGCACTTTGTTCCCCACATTGTATAAAATAATAGCGAATCACGCAGGGAATTTGTGTATTACTGAGTCCTTTTTATTATTACGCAGTATTCTACAGAGCATACATTTTGTGAAACTAACAAATACATGTGCTGTTGTTCCTTTGATTTGGTGTTTTATTTCTTCTGAAACAGATGTTTTTAGTTAAGAAAACTGAAGTTTCTTTTTTAGCGCCTCATGGACAAAAAGTACCACAATCTTTACTGATCTCTGGGACTTTTTTGATTTTTTGTGTGGTGGTGTCTTGTTTGCTGCTTAATTTGAATTGAATGGCACAATCTTAATCTTACTGCACAACTGAAGTTTTATCTCTTCTTTCAATGTTCAATGTGTTCTGCTTTTTGTGTTGATGAATTTTGTTATTGAAGATGTCTGTAAAATAACTGTCCTTTCTCTGGCAAGGGGAGAGTGATTATTATTGCAAGCAAAGTCCAGAACTGTACAAGTAGCCAATACAGGAAATAGTTGGACTTAATAAAAGGAACAGTGAGAAAGAAAGGGAGGAAAATAATTTCTTGGCCTTTGGAGTGTTAAAAAAAGGAGAAGGGATGTTGGTGTGGTTCTGGGGAAGAAAACCTGATACTTTCTGTTACTGTTTCAGGTAGTGAAACTTTGTTCTCCATTTTGGTTTTGCACCTGTGCAAGACAGTGTGGTCCTCTTTTATGTGTCTTGATCTGAGGTAGAGCTTTCTTACTCAATTACTCTTGTGACACATGAGCACAGCACTTCAGGATGACATGGAAAAATAAGATCAGCTCATACCGGCCTCCTGGACCAGCTTTGTTTTTTACAATTGGTGTGTACTTAGTTATTGCTGAATGGATCTCATTTCATCCAGAGCAGTTTGGGAGTGTGTCTGTCTGCATTCCAGTTCATTCACAGGGTCAGTTTGCACAAACTCTTGCTTTGTTAGAGTCCAAATGGAGAAAAAAAGGATACAGCTCTGTTTTTTACTAAATGTCTCGGTATACTGTCATCCAAGCTAGATGTGAGATACAGGATGTGATGGCTGGAGTTGGTGACTTTAATTCAGGACTACATTGGATGCCAGTTCAGCTGGCAGCTTGAGGACAACTCTCACCCTTTTAAAACATTTATCAGCACAGAATATCATAGCAGGAAGGCTCAAGTGAGTCTGTGCAGTTTACATAGTGGAAATTACTTTCAGGAAGATGAGCACATGTCAGTCTTAAAATTCCTGTGACCTAAATGTCCATCAATGTTGTAACTATTTTTGGCACTGTCCAAAACAGCAGACTTGCAAAACAGCACAGGCCTACTCCAGTATAGCCATCTACTCTTCACAAGTCACAAAAAATACTGCGGGGGCTGGCAGATGCAATACTTTGCCCCATTTTAAAGCCAGCTGGCTTCTCTTATGCCCCTCCCTCTTAAGCCCCTTTGTTCTCTTTGACTCTGCCTTCCCCTGTTCATCCCTCACCCCATGAGTGTGTACTGCTCCATTGATTCCTGCACCTCTTGCAGTCTGATCCCCCAATACCATTTCCAAAGTCCAGGATGAAATAACCTTTTGCACACTCTTACATGCTCTTATCAGGTAATATGATGGACCAGGTTTGGTTTCCATCACTGCCTCCCTTATCATGTCAGCCAGGTTTATCCCCATACATTCCTGTGTCAGAAAAGGTAGTAGAGGAGTAGTCACTCCTTTTACATACTCATACTCAGATAATTGTGCCACATAAAACATCCAGCAATTTGAGTGCTATGCTTCTCCTCACTTGGGGATTTAGTTGGAGAGGTCACATTTCCTTCCTATGGTAATGAATGGACAAGAGACAGCCAAGGTGTACAACACCAAGACTGGAAATTTGCATGTTCGAGTGGATTTTTTTAATTGGAAAGTGCTCACTTGGATGTACAGAAATAGGGAGAGTATTTGGTATATACTGCAATAAGGAAAAAAACCTCCAGTTTAGTGGAGAGTATAGGGAAAGGACCTTTTCAGACAGTAATCAGTTCCATGGAATACCATACCATAAAATGAGTTTCTCTTCCTTGTGTGCTTTGAGCTCTTAAGAGTTTGATAGTGCTGTCATGTTAAGGATTGCAAACCAGCTGGTTCTGGCTGTTTGCACACTTACTTGCAGACATTTGAAGATTAATTTACTGCTACTACTTTTAGAGTCTTTTGCAAAAGAGATTATGACTCCACTGCTAAAACAAGTCTGAAGCTGTGTTCTTCTCAGCTATTGCCTTTATTGGCCAGAAATGTCATTCATTTCTGTATTTGTATTTTGTCTATTGCCTTTGAACATCTTAGAGGTGTTTTTGTTTCAGTATTTTCCTTTCTAGAAAAACATTTTTGCAATTAGAGAGGGATGGAAGAAGAATAAGAAAGGATAAATGTATCAGCATTTGGAAGCTGCTGGGTTCATATCCGGAGACGGTGCCAATCAGGAAGGCAGGTAGTGGAAATGACATTATGTTTCCAAGCCAATATCAGTTATATCCATTTCCTGTTTGCCTTCTAACCAATAAATGCCAAATTTAATTTAAAGGGAATGAAATAATAGTGACACCAAAAGCAACAACCTCAAGTGTTTCTTATCTTTACTCAGCTTCTTCACCAATACATTTTTCTTCCCTTGAATTCCTAAAGCAATGTAATATATAAATCAATACAGGCAGTGAGCACCTGACTCGTGTCCAGGTTTCAGGAACAACATAAGGCCTTGGCCTGCTTGCCTCCCTTTTCCTGTTCCCATGCTTTGCTTGCATTCACATTGCCATAAAGTGAAACAGATGAAGTATCTGGAGCATTGTTAAAAGCTAATTTGGAGTGGGAATATGCTAATGCACTGTATTGTATTAAGTGATGTGTTTGGTTACAGACCTGGAGGTGGCCAAGCTGCTCGTACATGTAGTCTTTTTTTCCAGTCAATATCAACCTTTGAGCTGGTGAAAGTTGTCCAAGAAAGCTATCCCAGCTGAGAACACTTGGTGCAAATAAGACTTTCAAAGGATGACTGGATATTGGATACACTGTGTTGTTGTCTATGTATTAACTAGGGAGATTACATTAAAAAGATTTATTTCTATAAAGAGATTGGCTGACACAAATACTATCATCACATATTTTAACACAGCTGCTGAAAATACTGTAGCCTGACAAAGCTCTATCAGCTAATTACTGGATGTTTATGAGAGTGACTTAAATAGCTGCTCCAGGCTGATATTTTTAAATTGTTTTGAATTTTATTTTTAGTATAAGAAATATGACCCAAAACAATGGGATAAGACAAGGACAAGAGATGGAAAAGTTGGGGTTGGGCCAGGGGGGAATCAGTGGGAGAAAAATGGTTACATAAGTGAAAGGGTGCTTGAGTGTGCATGTACACTGGGGCTGGGGAGTGATGCAAGAAGGGGAGAGAACATAAGAATATTACTGCTTTAAATCTGTCCTTCAAAATTTTTAAATTCAGTTTTCATGCTGATGATCTTCCTGGATGTTTAGCAATGTTTATATATTCCCGGCGGGATGGAGTACTGGATGGAGAGTCAGAGGACTCTCCTGTAGTCAAATTTTCATGTCTTTTGATGTGTTGTGATGAGAGCAGACTTACAGAAGTGATGCACAAATGGCACAGAGCTGTCAGAAGTGAGAGGTGTAGCTACAGCACCTCATCTGAGCGCTGTTGCAAGGAGCATGGGGAGCAAAGTGCTGCTGTCTGCTGTA